GTCTGGTACATATAAAGAACATATGTATATGGAAGTGCCAGCCCTGATGTTTATTACTCTGTGGAAATGGATCTTTCATTGTTGTGGTACAGATGGAAGGGATTTACTAACAAAAATTTTGGCGTTGAATCCTTTAAAAAGCTGAGAACTATACTGGGGTAGTAGCTCAGTAGTACATGTACTTAGCATGTAGGAAGCATTGGATTCATGCCTCCCCCTGCCCTCACCAACAGCTAACAACAACAATAAGCTAAAGGCAGAGTATCTATAGAGGTCAACCCTTAAAGCAGCCAGAGTCCAATCAGTTCCAGGAGTGGGGTTAGTAATAATTCATAAGCCCTCCAAGCATTAAGAATCAACAAGAAGGATATCCAGAGAATGGCCACCCAGAATGGAGAAGAATGTACTTTGGACTGTGGGTGGCATTGCTTATTCTTAGGATTTCTCATGGCTCCTGAGTGTTGCCCATTATGTAGCATCATAACATGCTCTGTGACAATTGCTGGCTGTACCTTCTGTCTCCTTGGGAGGACCATGCCTGCTTTTCACTGTATGCTATGCCTAGGATGCACTCATTAACCTTTAATGAATGATGTGATTAATATGAGTGCAACAGCTGTGCCTGCCCCATCTCATTCCTGGGTGAAATGAAAACAAGCAGCATGGAGTGCTGCTCTAAGGTCATGGGAAGGAGAACAATTAAAAGGTCCTAGAATCCCATTGAAGGCATTGAGATCCTGGTCCCTAGAGTGAGTCTTTCATGTTGCAGGTGGAGAAACAGCAGCAAATGGATAAAGCCAGGAGGAGGCTTGTGATGGATAGGATGTACAGGAGAATCTCAGGTCTAAAAGCCCCCATCATGAGGGTACTGGCCTGGTCCTCATAATGTTCACAAACACTATGTCACAGTGAAATGGCTTAATAGGGACCATGTTGATACACAGTTACTTACAGGAAAGCACACAAACCATAACCATAAGGCTAGATGGATTTTAAAGGAAACAAACCATGTAGCCAGCACTTACATCAAGAAGCAGAGCAGGGATCAAAGTCTAAAGACTCCCCACTCCCTAATCAGCCAGATTCACCCCGTCCCTTATTTGCCTTGTAGGGTAGCACCATGTATGTCTCAATCCTGGCTTCAGGTCTCCTGATCCGACATATGTTGTTGTTTGTCCCTCTTAATCCAGGTTGGATACAAAATGTTCTCATTCAATATATACATCCAGGGTGATCACATGCCTGCTTTCCAGCAGACATTGTTAGTTAGGGTCATGGGAAAGGTGAAGGACACATCTCTGATCTTGGGGGAAAGATCTTGACTATGCATATATTATTTGACATAAAATCAGTGTTAATTCATCCCATAAAAATTTGGAACTAAGCTTCCATTGAAAACCATTGCATTTCGGCTCTGCTGGGGGAGAACTGACTAAGCTGGGTGCTTGTGGCATTGGGATCAGGGGTGTGAACAGGGAAGTAGGGTGACTACTGCTGAAGCCAAGCAAGTCCACTAAAGTCTCTGGCTACGTGTTGCCTTTGGGAAGACAGCACCAGGTCCCTCAGGGAACATAAAATATATTTGAGAAGATTCACTTAAGGTCATGGCCAAGTGCATGCCTCAGAAGAGGAAATAGGACCCTATAATGAAAGTTTTTGACCCCTTAGGGTCATGCTAGGAGGAGACTTTAGGATGCTCAATGGGGAGCACAGGTTTTCTGTTCACCCAGGGATGCCAAAAGGAACACTGTAACCTGAACCCTAGGAAGAAGAAGTTCCAGGGAAGGAGGCCAGGGGGTCTGAAGGCAGCTTACAAATAAATTCAGAGACACTTATGAGGGAGAGGGAATGGCCATCAAGACACCACCTGAGGACCACCTGCCTAACCATGCTTCAAGTCACAGGCCACTTGTAACCAAACTTCTTGGTGGACTGAGGTGTTCCCAGTGATCTCACCAGACTGTGAATGGAATGGTCTGTGTGGGAAGACTGAATTCTCCACACATACCACAAAGGCTGAACACACTTGTGTGGGGGGGAGCATTGTCCAAGTAGATGGGACAAAGGCACCTGAGTCTAGGACCTGTGACCTGAAGCCAGCAGGGCACTAGAGGGGATGCTGTGGAGAGCTTCCAACTCCGCCACCTGGCCCTCAGCAGGAGCTCCTGATCATTTGTGACTGGATCCCTTCCCTGTCTAAAAAAGCCCTCACATCTGTCTCCAAGATGCTTAAAAAGCAGAAAGTAAAGCATATGGGCTGTAAAGGAATAGTCAATAGCTTATATCCAGTAATGTGTAGTCTTTTATTAATGTAGTAAATCACAGGATGGATCAGGGACTTAATAAACACCATAACTTAAAATGGGGCTGTGTGTGTGTGGGGGGGGAGGTGAACGGCAAAGGAGAAGTGTCTGCAACCCGGCAGCATATTTTAGAAAAGGTATGATTGTCCTTGAGGACAAAGTCTCGGGGATCAGGAACACTCCTGCTCTTTCTTGTTTATAGTCCCACTTACAGAAAATGCCAAGTTTCAATTTGAGTTAATGATGACAAAAACAGGATCGTTTCCTCCCTACTCCCCTTAAACTCCATCTGCAGGCTCTTGGCAGATATTTAATCCCTCAGAAGACCTTCAAGCTCTTTTTCAATACAAACCTCAATTTTTGTTTATCCATTTGGGTCATACACCAGATTCCAAGGCCTGCCCTGTGACACCAAAGGCATTTCCCAGCTACACAGCCAATGAGATTTGGAGGCAAAGGCTGGGATGTTGCACCCTACAAATACACCAGACCTCTGTTGGAGATAAAAATTAACAGTCCCCTCCCTTCTCCAGCACTCTTCCTCTCTTTGAGGAACATCTTCAATGAGCCCTGCTGGCTGTCCCTCAGCCATCTCCCACGCTGTGCCTGTCTCCTTGGCTTCCTTGAAATCAACTATGTCGTCTTTGTCAGTTATTTTATCTGGGTCAATGGCTGAATCAGAACATAGTGGCCACCAAGACACCTTGAGCTCTCAGATCATCATTCTCACACCTATTGATTTAGCCTCTGTTGCCAAATTTCCTGGCACTAAGGAAGCAGGAGAAGAAATGTACATGGGTGAGCATCACATATCAACAGATATTCATGGGCAGACATCACTAGGTCTTCAGAGAACTGGATCTGGGCTGCAAAAAACACATCCCCTTGGGACAGAAGGCTGGATGCCTTTGTTTGTCAGTGGTTTCTTATTGCACAAATGCCAGTTTCCAGGTACGAGGAATAAAAGTTATGCAGGTGGCTAATATGAATGACAGCCAGTGTAGGGAGTGCTGTAAACAGCTTTAGAAGGAATGGTATGGAATACGGTCATTGGGATGTTTGTTTCATGGGCTAGTAAGTGAAACCCTCCCTGGGAAGAGAACAGGAAGAAATGCCATCTGTGTGGAATATGAGTGGGAGACAAGAAGGAGAAGAATCACCAAGCCAGAGAGGCAAAGACTGAAGAAGGGGTCACTGAGGTGAGCCTGGCTGGAGAGACAAGCTCCTTCCAGACAAAGTGGGTAGGGGATGGCTGGAGGGGCTACAAGCAAGGACTCTAAAGTCAGACCAGCTCAGGGACAGCTGGCTCTGGAAACTCTGTGGCCTTGGGCAAGTCACTTGCCCTCCCTGAACTTGTGTTTCCTAATTTGTGAGTTGGGCTATTCTGATGTACCTTTGTTGGGCTGTTAAAAGCACAGATATGTAAGGTAGTATGGTGGTGATTAAGCCATGGATGGTTTGCTGGTTTGTTTATTCTAATGAGATGTTTGGGTTTTTAAGTTGCTGAGAAATAACCTGGCAGCTCTTTGGCAGATGATCAGCATTATATAGGCTACTGGGGGTCAGTAGGACAGTAGGAAGGGAGCCTGGAGGCTGTTTACACTAACTGCTTCACAGTTAGGGGCAGGGCTGGAGGGCCACCATGGAAAGACAGCAGAATGGCCATCTGTCTCTCAGGTGTTTTCTCAGCCATGCCAGATGGGAGGGAAAAGCAGCCAGCCACACCCTCACCACTGAGGAGTCCACTGCTCCCAATTCCTGATCATTCCAGTCTGACATCCCACCAACCAGCTTCTGCTTACCAGTGACAATGTCACTTTCATGGGATTCTAAGTGCCTCAAGGACAGCAGCCATTTCCTTTCATTCTTAGTACAGTGACCAACAACACAGTCTCACTCTGGGACCTAGGGGGCTTCTGAATAATTTATTTACTAGGAAAAGAAGGACTGGCTTAAAGCTCCCAGAAGGTTAAAATCAGGGAATCTATATGGTCCTGGGAGATCCTTGATGCATCCCTGACCCAGGGCCAGCCCTTCCTCTGGCTCTCCAAGGAGCACTGTCCTCCACCTGAGAAACATTCTGGAGGTCACAGATCATGAATGCTCCTTCCCCCAGATCTCTCAGATCCTGCTGGGGATACACAACCCATAGCCAGTTTCCAGCTCGAGGGGACTTTGAGGATCACAGATGAAGGGGACAAAAGCCTTCTAGTCTCCAGAGACTCACAGAGATGCTGAGGCTCAGCTGCTAGGAGTTGGGGTCTTGCATACTCCTCCTCACTGGCCACCCTTAGACCCCAGGCATTTCTACTGCTCCTGCTGTCCAGCTTGGGGGGGGGGACACATAGGGAAGAGATGCCTCCCCTCTGGTTATTTCTCAGCTATTTGCACTAAGGTCTTTCCTCTGCCAAACCCACTACCCTTGGCCCCGATTCTGCAGGCTTTTCCCCAAAGGGTGCCCTAACCCTGCGGTCCCCCATCCCTTCCCAAAGCTCACAAGCCTGTCTTCCCTATACACCGTCCGTCCCCCACCCCATTCCTTTCCCAGCTCTTGCAAACCTTCATCCCCCCCATTCTCCTTCAAGTCCCTCCCCCATCCCTCGGGGCCACCAAGACCCCTGCTGCAGGTCTGCTGTCCCCCCTCCTGGTATGGTTAAGAGTAAGGTGGCGGGGCCACCACACCTGGCCCACACTCACCTGTTGGGCCGGCTGGAGCACGCCTGGCCTCGCCTTCTCAGGGTCGGGCTCGCAGTCCCGAGGAAGCAACCCCTTCTTGGGGTGCATGTGTCGGCACAGGCAGGTGACCCCGCACAGCGCAAGGATGCTGGTAGCTGTGCCCAGCGTGGCGCCCAGCGCGATCACAGGCACCGAGAGCACCATGGTGCCTGCTTCCCGCGGCTCGCCCGCTTCCCGCCGGCCTCCTTCACCTAGCGCTCCCGCAGGGCTCCAGCCGCTCTCCAGACTCTGAGGGCGGGGATGCAGCCAGAGGAGGGAGGACCGATATAAGGACGTCAGAGGCGGAGGCTGACCCGGAGGCGCGTCAACCGCAACCCCCTCCCCGCCACCATGTGACCCTCCCCCCTATCGCCAGGAGGGCCCAGGCAATCGCCTCAGGGCCTTGCAGGACTGTGACTAATGCTCTATGTACTCTACACACACACACACACACACACACACACACACACACACACACACACACACACCACACACACACACACACACACACACCACACTCCAGCAGGTGATAGCCTCAGGATTGTATGGTCAATCCTAGTTGCCACCCCTCCCCATACTGTAGGTGATAACTTCCAGGTTGTATGGTGCAATTCCTAGAACACACACACACATACGCACGCACGCACGCACGCACATACATATACATGCATGGGCACATGCATACATTGGCATGTGATAACCTCAGAGTTGTTTGGGGCCATTTCTAGTGCTCTATGTAAACACATGCACACACATATACATAAAGACAAGCACACACAAACACTCCCTGGCAGGTGGGTAATCTCAGTGTTATCTAGATGCTCTGTGCACAAACATATACATACATACAGGCAGTTGGACCTAAGAATGACTGGAGATTACTGAAGTCACAGTGTTAATCAACTCAATGAACCAGGACTTCAACCCAGACCTGAAGCTCACTCTGGGTAGCTGGTCACCTCATCCGACTACTACTAACCCTTTGCTTGTCACTCCACCCCTCACCTTATCCCAGGGCTGATAAGGAGGCTGTAAAGTAGATGATGCTCCAAGCTTTGCAAGCACTCACATGCAGGAATAGAGGTGTCTCATGTCCTGGGTTCACAGTGGCTTCTCACCAAGGACAGGCACCAGCAGAAGCTAGGAGAGGGAATGTGGTAGGAACAAGGAGGGAGATAGGGCAGACTGGGGTGTGGCAGAGGATTGACAGATGCAGTGTGGTGTCTGGCTGGAAGGTCCTGTGATCAGGTAGTTATCTTTGGGCTGCATTGTAGCTTACATTTATTACCTGATGTGATCGGCAAGGACCTTACCTTCCATGTAGCTGAAGATACTGAGGCCCAGATACAGGGTCACTAGAAACAGTGGCACCATCCTGAACCCACACTCATTGTTTGCTGGCTCCAATTCCTATCTTTGGAGGGCAGAGGTTGCCTCTGGAACAGAGGGCTCACAATGTAGAGATTATGTGTGCTTAAGAATGAGGGAAAATGAGAATTTCTGCAGGATGATAACTATTTTGGCTGTACTGAGCTTTTGGGTTTTTTTTTGTTTGCTTGTTTTTGTTGTGTGGAAGGTTTGATTTATTGAGGACAAGGTGTGGTTTGTGGGTTCTAGGTGTGCCTGGCACATAGGAGAAAAGACCTGGCAGAATTTAATCCATAGCTTCCAGGTAGCTGATGACTCCAGAGCTGGAGTGTATGTCTGTCTGGCTTCAGGTGTGATCATTGCCTGGGTCCTCCCTTGTCTCCCCTAATTTATGACTTAGCAACTGCACAGGGCTCCACCCCAGACTCAGTGGCTTAGAACAGTTGCTTTTCTACATAGTGTGATTCTGTAGGCTGGCTAGCCTAAACTGGCTGGTTTCTGCTCAGCAGTCTTCTGGAACTGAAGTAGTCTAGGATCCGGCTAGGCTGGGCTGTGCAATGGCACACTCAACACAGGTAGCAGCTGATGCCCGGTCACCACAGGACTCAATCTGAAGCCTCAGCAGGCACCCTTGGTTCTCCTCCACATGCTCTCTCCCTGTAGCTAGAGCTCCCAGGATGGCAGCCAGGTTCCCAGAGAAAGGAAGACACAACTGCCAGTTCTCTAAGGCATGGGTACAGAAGAAAATCGGTTCTTTGCCCAAAGTAGTTAGCTTCCTTCTCTCTTCTTTTTGACATCTACTAGAATGGATGTTTCTGAAGCCTATGGTTGATTCTATTACAACCTATATAACCTTTCAAAGGCTCTCCATGGATAGATCTCAGGGGTAACTCAGATGGGAACACTTTGCTTGATGGTTGGTCCTGTTAATCCATCTATACTTCTCTCCAGTCATCCCCCAGTGCACTGGAGATTCATTCAACACACAAACAACCTTAGAGGCTCTACAGCACCCATGACTGCACACATCAGGCACTCAATAATTAGTAACTTACATGATCATCTCTCTAGAGACTTCTGGCAGCTTGGAGGGAGTTCCATTTTCTATATCAAGTCAATTTTATTGCAGTGATCTTTCCACAGTTATTAGTTAGATGCCTGCTGTATGTCAGGTATATTTTTCTACTAAGCCCTATTTGTTCACAATTGTGAACTGCAACCGCACCCCCACCCCCACCCCCATCTCCTGTGATCTATTTAGCTGACCTTGGAGGTTCTTTTGGATCCTGAGTCTGTCAGGCCTGAGCTGCTCCCCTGGGAGACTCTTAATGCCACCAGTCAGAATAGAATCTAAGGGAGGCATGGATGGAAGGATGAAGAGCACTTAACACCAGAAAATGTCTGATGGACTTCAAACACCTGCCATGTGGTCCATTGTTGCTATGGTTACTGGAATGCTAGTAGCTGCAGTGGCCCCCAGCCTACAAAGAAGAGCCCACCTCTCATCTCTTTCATATGCAATGAACCTACTACAGAACCAGGAGTGGAGCCCAAGGCAGCTGAACCCCAAGGCTTGTCAGTATGCAGGGATACCTTTGCTAGCCAACCAGACAGCCTCACACATCCCATCAAAGGGGGTAACTTATGATTCCTATGACTGATATCTAGGAAGTGGCCTTTAATGAAAAGGCCTGGCTGGGTTTCTTTGACAAATGAAATCATGTGGTCAGATAAAAGCAGTTGACAGAGTCAGCCTGGAAGAATGGAAGAAAAGGCCAGTGGATAATTGGGCATGTTTGGGCTGCCAGGCTGCCAAGGTCGGACAAGGGCAAGATTCTGGGGGAGCATCTCAAGCAGAAGGAGGCTCTCTAAGGGCTATCCCCCAGCCTCTGGATGAAATGCCATCATTGTTATTTTGATGGCTGCTTGGATGTCTAAATAGTGAGAGGAATCACTCATAGTCTCTAAGATCCTGAAATACTTTCATCCTGGAGAAAAAATTTCAAATGCAATCACATGGCTGCTCACCATGAGGTATCTTCTGAGAACTTTTCAGACCACAATCCAATCATAGGATGCACTTACACAGAACAAGAGCATTCAGGTCAGCCGAACCTTATGGTTCCTGTGTGCAATTAAGGGACACCATCACCACAGGCTGCACAGAGGCTGCATCCAACATAATACAAATACTCTTTCACCGTAATAATTTTTAATTAGTATAAGAAGTACATTAGAAAATACCAATCAGAGTAAGTGCAGTAAATACATAAATAGTAACAGTAGGTTGTTGTCATGACCAAGTATTGTGCTCTGTATGCAACTGTATGAACTGTACTTTTCTATAACTAGCTGTGTAGCACATCTGTTCTCACAAGCCACAGACAAGTGAGAAATCACAGCAATACCAGGTCATTCCCATTGTCATCTCATGGGCCCAACACAGGATGTGCTGCCTGTCATTGGCCACAACATGTCTATAATAAAACAAACAACAGTGCAGGGAGTCAAATATGAGTAACCAAAGCTCAGGAACTTGGATTCAGGTTGTCCTCAAAATGCACTAATTATTTCATGATTTCTTTTTAAGCTAACAAAAGAAAATAAAGTCAAAAGTCAAGACACTTTGAGAACCCTGTGGGAGCAGCAGCTGTGTGGGTTTTAGCAAAGCAGGTATGGTGGTTTGAGTGGGAAATGTGTTATGATAAAGCTTGAAGGGAACCTTGCATGGGAGACCATGGAGGACACCATGGCAAGTGAGGGTGACCGAGGTGGGCGAACAAACACGCCAGGCAGACAGAGCTTAAGTGAGAAGTTTTATTAGAAGGGGGAAGGAGGGAGAAGGAAAGAGAAAAAAGGCAAAGAGACACAGAAAGAAGACAGAAAAGAAGAGGGAGATAGGAAAACTCCTATCTGCCCCAGGGACAGGAAAGAGAAGAGAGCGCGGAAAGCTAGGAAAGAGAGTGTAAGTAGGTGGTGGGTGGGGGGATCTGTCTTTTAAAGGGGTCCTTTGCACCTGTGTATAGACTATACAATCATGGAACCCTGGGCTGACCAGGGTACTGCCTCAGTGCATTCTGCCAGATGACATGGGCAGACCAGAATAATGCCTGAATTCTTACAAAATGTCCTCCAGGAACTCAAGTATCTGAACACTTAGTCCCCAGATGGTGGTGCCTTATTGGAGGAAGTATGTCACAGCGCTGGCCTTGCCCCACTCCTGTTCTTATCCCGTTGTTTCCCTGCGGCCATGTCATGCCATGGCATGCCACACTGTGCCTTCCCAACCATATGGACTCTAAGCCTCTGAAACCATATGCCAAACCAGGGCTTTCCTCGAGTTCTTTTGATCATGACAGAGAACTCTTTAGCATGGACCTCAGACTCTATCTGAAGGCATGCTTAGCTTTTGGGTTGTCAGCAGAAGATAGTAGTTTGTTAGTCTTTCACAAAAATTTTTTTTTGCCAGATAGTCACCAGGATGTCAGAGCAGGCACAGTAATGGGCAACAAAAATGACTTTTAAGAAAGATGAAGATAGCTCAAGATAATTGTCTTTGGGCCTGCAATGTCCCAGGTCTCAGCAGCCATAGTTCTAGTCAGTCAATCCACTTTGCAGATGCTGTAATGCTGGTTTGATGGTTTCCTTAAATTTGGTTTGGATCTTGTTTCTGTTTTTCTGGGAACTTCAGTTCACAAGTTCCCAGCTGATCAAGTGTCTCATCTTTTGTATAGAGGCCAACCCCCTCCCCTTTTTTTTTTATCATGTGGCACTAGAAAGGCTTAGTCCTACCTAGAATCTGATAAAGATGAAGCTGGAGTGACAGGAAGATAGTCTGAGAGAGAGAGAGAGCCAGTAAAATCACTAAGGAAGAAATCCCTAGCCCACATCGAATGTTAACAGCTATTTTGACTCAGATCTTGGTCTTTCTCCACCCCCTCCCCTCCTCTATGACTGAC